ATATATGCGCTTGTGCTCTCGTGCGTGTACACATAGATATTGGATGTGTCTCGGCGAAGTTCCTAGAGTTTGGCTGGCAGTTTGAGAGTCTATTCATGTGTTGAGGTGTGTGTACACTGAGAGGCCGGATTGCATCTCAGTGAGGCTCCGGGGTTTGGCTGGCGATTGGTTGGTGTATATGTTTAGCTTTCATGGATTGGTACGTGTATATATATATGATGTTACTCATGTATGTCTGTATTTATTATCATTTCCTTTTATCTGCATATGTATTACTATAGCCGTACATATATGTCCACTTTGATATACACACACGTATGTACACGTATATACACTCATATATACAGTATATTCACTCATATACACTCATATATACATGTATATTCACTCATATACACGCATGTATATACACTCATATATACATGTATATTCACTCATATACACGTATGTATATATACCCATATATCACCCTCTTCCTACAGTCGGATGCCGGGTCGTGTTCCGATGTCCGTACCAACACGCCGCAGGCACGCTCCCACTCCGCGCGTGGCGTCGAGTGGGTTTATGGCGAACACTATGACAATGGCTCAAAGCGGCAGTCACCTTATGTCCCAATCCCGTACCAGCTTAGTATAAACCATGGTTGTAGTACTATACAAACACCAGTCTCGACCCGATCGTGTGGTCACCCATCATTCCTAGTTTGTTGTCCGTGCCCAGGCCGTGGCCCGGACGAGTGGCTGTCGCGATCTATTCAAAAGCCCTTCTACTGTCGTGCAGTAACACTTAGTACTAGGGGTCGTCTCAAACCCCGCAGCTAGTGCCAGCGAGAACGGTACAGTACCACTCCTGGTTAAATGTCCATGCGCGACTCTGGCAGTGCCAGGTGAGGTCGCTCATGGATGGTTTCCATAGCAACGGATGGCCAATAGCTATGCGTGTTGCACATCCAGTGCACAAGATACAACAGACCCCCCACCTACCCCCCCTTTCCCCACATACACACCCCGTAAGCACTACTCAGAGATATTCTGGGGAGGGTCCTCTGGCCATGCATCACATCAGCCCACTCGAGTGCGTCGTACCAGGGCCGTGTGTGGGAGATCGCTTGCAGTTGTGTGCTTCGCTGTGAGTCACGACGCAAAGACGCACGCGCGTGGCTTATGCTGAGACGGTAGTCTTATCGTGGTGCTACTACACACGTGTTTACTTCTGATCATCTGGGGGATCATCGCATTGGTCAATAGTTAGCACGTTGCTACCAGATGGCAACCGTAGAGTCCCACAAAGCGGATGGGATACAGTTAGCGGGCTAGGCATATATGATATATGTGTCTATGCAGACACGTGTGCTTTCAACAAGCGATAGTGTTTTCTGAGATGCCCCGGTGAACTGACTGGCTGAGCCAGTCAGCCACTGAGCCCGAAAGTGAACTAAAGCCGCGTGAGGGTCGGAGGTGGAGTGGGGGTGCCCTAACATCCCGGTGATGGAGTGCTTCAGCAGCACCTACCAACACATACAGTGGGATAGTGGGGGGGTCTTATACCGAGCCGCACAACAGCGGTCGTCATATCTAAGCAGCTCATGACACGTCGTACGGTTATCAGACCTTCCCACAGTCTATGCGGCTCAATATCAAGTCACGGAACACCCCCCCCCTGCCATCGCGCTCGACCAATGGAAGTACAGGGATTCGTGGTGTAGAACTGGCTCGGCCGCGATGACCGAGAACGACCCAACAGGCGCTCGGCGAAGCAACGAACGAGTGGGTTGAGTGGCACTTGCACGTTCTATAACAGAATCACAACATCACACGACTAGGGCACGACACTTCGAAAGAGTGATATACGACACTGTGTAGTCAGTTTACGACACAGTGAGGCAATTTACGACACTGTGCGTGCAATTTGAGACGGTGCAGAACTCCTCACGCCACGCACCACACTTTTTAACTTCCTCCGCAGATTCGATTAGGCAGGACCTGCAGGGGCTTTAATCTACAACCCAGAAATGAGTACCATGTTGAACTATCCATAGACCAGAGACAAGTAGGTAGCTGTCGCGCTTTTTATAGATCAGTAGTCAGTTGGCCCGCCGCACTAATTGTAGAGCATGTGCGAAAAGACACTCTCGTCTGTAACGAGTTTAAACGCTGTGCTGTAATCGCATGGGCCATTCGACCCAGTACACAGCAAGCCATGACCATCTCACTGTACGCAATCGTTAGTAGTAGAGACAAAGCCATCCAGCACAACGGAAGTGGTCAAATAAAACGTTAGAATAAAACGTTAGATGACCCCAACACTGCATGATCGATACATGACCCCAACACTACATGATGGGGGTATAGGATACCCTGTGCTCGTGGGAGTGGCTGCTACTGCATTAAGCTAAAGGCAAGCAGCAATGGCGTGGCGTATTCTCTCGGAATGTATCGTTCGAGTGTGTCTGATGTCGCTTGGGTATCATTAGGGGTTAGGGTTTTAGGGTTTAAACGAAACTAGTATATACCTTACACCGTCAACATATACTTACTCCGTGTAGTTTTTTTTATAGATTATCTACAGCAGGCGTGGTGTTCATTCTCCAGGCTTCCCCCCGTTAACACACACTCATCCATCAATTGTGCGTTGTCAGTATGGATTCAACCCCAGGTTTAGCTTATACGAACTACATAGTGCAAGTTAAAATAAGTGAACTACAGAGTACAAGTTAAAATAAATAAACTACATAGTACAAGTTAAAATAAGTGAACTACATAGTACAAGTAAAAATAAGTGAACAACATAGTGCAGGTTAATATACGTGAACTACATAGTACAGGTTAAATTACGTGAACTACATAGTACAAGTTAAAATAAGTGAGCTGCATAGTACAAGTTTAAATTAAGTGAACTACATAGTGCAGGTTAATATACGTGAACTACATAGTACAGGTTAAATTACGTGAACTACATAGTACAAGTTAAAATAAGTGAGCTGCATAGTACAAGTTTAAATAAGTGAACTACATAGTACAAGTTAAAATAAGTGAACTACATAGTACAAGTTAAAATAAGTGAACTACATAGTACAAGTTAAAATAAATAAACTACATAGTACAAGTTAAAATAAGTGAACTACGTAGTACAAGTTAAAATAAGTGAACTACATAGTACAAGTTAAAATATGTGAACTACATAGTACAAGTTGAAAGTAGTGAATTCGGCCCGACGTGCCGTTTTGTTTTGTTTCATGTATCTGCACAGCTAGAGGGGCCACTATATAGCGCAGCTCATATCGTTGCAGATTTAGACGTCGTTTAATGGATATACGCTGCTACTAAACGTTTCGCGGGACTGCTTCCGGACTGCCTGAGTGTTTCCCATGCACTCTCCTCCGTGCTAGCGCCCAGAGTACCCTAGATACCGCCCACTCATGTCACCCATGCTATTCCCGGCGACTGTATTACGCGAGATTACACCCATTTACTTCCTCATATACAGAATTTATTAGATTGTACTACTGTATTGCGCGAAATTACACCCCATTTACTTCCGCATTTAGAGAATTTATTATATTGTTTTACTGTATAACGCGAGATTACACCCCATTTACTTCCTCATACAGAGAATTATTAGATTGTTTTACTGCGCGCTCTGTTGGCGTTGCTATTGGCAGAAGGTCGTCCGCATCATACCCGCCTGGATTTATATATAGATTCTATAAATAGACCGTACCTACTACGTTGCTCTGCTAGAGTACACATCCGCCGTCGGCCATTTATTGGGTTGCTTCGCCGGCAGCAGCAGCAGCTTCCTTTTTCTCGCCTGTTGAGTGCGCGTAAGGGATAAAAAGCAAATAAAAGGTGAATAACAAGCGGATAATAAGCGAATAAAAAGTGAATAGAAAGTGAATAAAAAGTAAATAAACGTGAATAAAAAGTGAATAACAAGCGGATAATAAGCGAATAAGAGGATTGGCCACGAATGCCTGTTTCACAACTGGTTGATTCTCGTACGCATATCGCTCGCGATAGACCTTGTGTGTATTCAAAGGTAATACGAATAGGCGGATGGCCATATCTGGTCGGATTTCAAATACTATGAGCGTGCTATTGTATAGAAAAATACATATGCAGACGGATATAGTTTCTCTCTTGAAATTCTTCACTAGGGCTATGGCCTCAGACAATTCGGACAATGCGTTCGTACATACCTATTTCAAATACGTCCCGACAACACATAGAACAGCTGCGTATCAAAAAAAAAAATTTGATATCTATCCTGATGGTGGGAGGTATTCTGCTGGTATAAAAAATGACCTATGACTATATTGTATGGCTATAAAGAGCCATATGCGAGTGGGGGATATAGCCATGACTGTGTCGACTGAGAACACGCATACTGTGCTTTGTGTGTGTGGGACATTCGCAGTCAGGCGCCTCATCGCGAGAGGGATACAGCACACATGACATCGCTGTGCTATATATTAAGTGGGCGTGAACCGGTAATAGTTGCGAACTTTTAATAAGAAGTACACATGTGCAAGGGAAACCCAGTAAGCACATGACAGATCTGCGAGAGGTTGGGTGGGGGGAGGGGGAGGGTTGATTTGATCCTAACATGGTCAAACAGGTAACACGGTTATATACTTCACTTCTAAGTCATACGGTGAACAATCAAAGCCGGCGTGGTTGTACACCAACGTGCAATTCACACGGCTGTGTGTGAGAACACCTCTCTGCGACACGTGCACGGGTGGTCGTGACTTCGTTGGTATAGGTACCGAATTGGTTTGCCGTGTATGGCATGACGTTTAAAGGCACACAACCACCGGACTGGGTAGCAAAGGTGAGTAAGGAATGAACAACCCCACCCCCCACCCCGGGAGTCAGATACGATATATATTATAACCCCTGAAGCGATGAGGTGTATAGCACCTCTCGCGCCTCAATCCGGGAAAGATACTACGTGTTGTCTCTGTATTGACCGATAACGGGCGATTACTAAACGAATGCTCGATGGTGTACGACTAGGCTTCAGTCAGAATGGTCTGTATTCCGCTGAAGAGATGTACATACTTCGCCCTAACGGACCATAAAATAAACGTGCAAGGTACTAATATTTTTGTATACGTATAACGGGGCAACGAGAATAGCTAATAGAGCCAACACGTATAAGATACAAATTTAACGTAAAAGGCCAACACGTATATAATAACACATTTACGTATCAAGTATAACTGGGTACCACGCATACTAATGAGCGCCGACGTACTAGCATATATATATATATATATATATATATACACTACCCGACCCTACGT